GCTCCCCAGACCTATATGTCAAGGAATAGGGAGTTGAGACATGACACATTAATGTTTTGATCAGGGGACGCTCTCTGCTCCCACGGAAAGGGAGGCAGACTGGGTGGAGCGGGCAGCTGCGAAGAGGGAAGGTATTACTCCGCAGCTCCTGCGGAAATTCGTATTCCGTGTATGTTCCTCTCGCACCTGAAATAAATCCTACAGGCCTACCCACACAGACCCCACAGCACTTATTTATTTGCATGTCATGCTTATAATATGGTAGAAAGCAAGACAAATCTTCGAGGAGTGGAGATGAGGCTCACCTTTCAGACTCGCTCTCTTAAATAAAAAAGAATTGTCCGGCTGGGGGCCTAAGAATTTATCTTGAGTTTGTGGTCATTATCTCTATTATACAGACCTGGCAATAAATAAATCGAGTAGGTTACTACCCAACAATAAAACTGTAGTGTATGGGACACCTTACTATTACTTTCTTAATAATCTGCCGTTTCTTCCACTTTAAATCTTTCTAGTCTTGTCTTCCCGCTTGCCTACAAGGATCTATCTTCACCCCTTGAGGTACCAGACCGCTCGGATTCATTTTTATATTTTGTGAACACAATAAGTTTTCCTGTCTAGAGTTTCTGTTTTTCCTATTTCTAGGCTACCTAATCTGCTTCAAGACAAAGGGTCGGCCAGGATCAAATGTCTTTCCCCCACCCGTGTCTCTATTTTAACCGCCTGGTGAGTCGACTTTAATGAAGATCGCCCCCGTCGCAGCAGCCACCCAAGCGGTCTCTAGGAGAAAGGGGCGCAACGCAGAGCCCGGGGGACCGACTCGGGGAAGACGTTCTGCGACCTGTCCGTGGGCACGCCCTTGGGTGCGCACGGAGTCCAAAGGCCCATCTGGAGAGACTCCGCTTGGGCCGTTTCTCCCTCTCGTGGCCCTCAGCCCGCTTCCTGCCCGTATACCGGCCCACGCAGAGCTTCCGAGGTGGGGGTCGCATCCCTCCGACTTCTCCCGGCTAGCTCTCCGCCCGGGCACGGCGCACCACACGCGGGCAAGAGCGCGAGCAGCCTGGGCCGGCCGGAGAAGTCCGTCCTCACTCCTCTGAGGGCTCCTCTGCGTCCGCAGGCATTAAAACCCATCAAGGGGGCTCGGCCTAGGGGCGCGGACGCGGAGGGGGGCTGGGGGCGCGGGCGCTCCTTTCAGGTACCCAGACGTGAGGCTGGCTGGAGAGGTTGTATGCACGCCCACCCGGCCTGGGCTCCAGCGCAGGGGGCTCGCCTCCTCCGCCAGGGCGAGGTGCGCGTCGCCCACCCCAACCGGGATCCCCCGGCCCGAGTCGCAATCTGTTCCGGGCAAGAGCCTTCCAGAGCTTTCCAGGAGGATGCGCCCACCCTCCGGCCGGCCGGCCTTTCCAAAACCATCGCCACACTCATTTTCACGCCAGCGCGAAAAGTGACGCAGACCGGCAAAGCGGTCAGCAAATGACCGCCTTATCCGCGGAGCGGCGGGAATCGGGGGAGGGGGTGAGGGGAGGGCAAAGGGGCAGTGGTAACCCAGGGGAGAAAAACAAACAGTCCTGCTTCGCTTCCCCTTTTGTCTTTACACAGCTTGTCTCAAGAAATCAACTTAAGTACCGCAAGACCCCACCAGGCTTGTTTTTGTTTGTTTGTGTGACTTAGATCACAGATAGACCTCGAGACCGAGTCTCTGTGTGAAAGAGGGAAAAAAAAAAAAAGCCGCGGTTGGGCTTCTGATGGTGAAGGGACGATGAACTTCTCACCTTTCTCTAACTCACTAACACACGTCCTTAAAAAAAAAATTCACGCCGCCGTGGGTGTGTGTTTCACTGTTAAATGCGTTTTGCTGGGATGATCTTTTACGACTGGAAAACAAGCGGCTGGGAAAATATTCACGTTTGGGACAGAAAACATTTTTTATTTATATCTTTGACATTTAAAAGAGCAGAATTAATTTGTCCTGTCTAAATTAGCATTGAGAGAAAGTTTCAGAAATCTACCCAGGGGGAAGAGAAGGGGGCGGAAAAAAAAGAGAAAAGAAAGCGAATAAAAGAAAGGAAAAAGAAAAGCTAGGCTTGGTTTCTCTTATTTCAGATCTGTAATCAATCATTGAAATAGGAGGCAGCAAAATTGTAAAGATTCGATAGATTAAAATGCAAATGAAAGGTAGAAAAAGAAACATTAACATGGCGATCAAAGATTTAATAACCGTAAATCAAGGTTTTTTTTTGTTGCAGCTGCAGTTTGTGTGTGTGTTTATGTTTTAATCATGTTCGTTACATAAATAAATAATATCTGAAACGAGACTAATTTTTCATTATTTTAACCGTGGGCTATAACACTAAATATTAAAAATAGAAAATGTACAGGATGCCAGATCCCCAGCCAAATAAGAGAAAGACTTGTGTTGATTGGTTAAAATCAAGGGGTTTCATTTGTGTGTTTTGAAAATCAGAGTATTATGCTAAAAAATGCTGTCTCAACTGACAAAGCCCAAAGTTTTATTTTCCCTCTAATATTTTATGTTAACGACAAGACACCATTTATAGTAAATATATGCGTGGCTGCATATCCATTTCAGTTTGAGCATTTTCAAAGAACAGAAGTGCCAGAATATTTAAATAATACAAAACATATATTATTTCAAAGTGATTTGACAGAATTCCTGGGAAATAACACTTGTTCAAAGAATATGCCTTTTAGAGAAATACTACATGGTGGTTTAACACAGTTAAAACTTTTTTTTAGCTTTATTATTAAAGTTATTTTTCCAAGGGGAGTATTTTTGCCCTTTGTTTTGCTATCATTCGATTTAAGGTTTTATGTCAAGGTGTCAAATTACCAAGACACACTATTTTATTTAACTAGTCCTCACTTTCTTTTATGGTGAAGACTTTTCATCTGGATCTTTTTATTTAAAATAGATGTATATTGTTAAGAAATTATTTCTAGAACTTTAAAAATAAACAACTGGTCTTCGTCTTTTTTTTTTTTTTTTTGGTAGTCTTATTAACAGGGAAGAAGTCATCTTTAGAGGATTGGAAACTTTTCTTTTTGGTAATAAAGTCTTACAATGTTTAAAATAAGCTCTGCTTAATTTTGTCTTTGAAGGATTCACTTATCCTAATGTTTGATATGATGAATTAAAACTCTCCATTTTTCCTCTTTCCACTAATTAAAATGAGAGCCAAACCTGGAATACTTGTTTCCTTTCTAAAACCTTTCAGCTAAATGTGAGCTAAGTTGATGTCCACTCCCTCCATCCCAGTTACACAAGCAGTTTTCACTGCGACAGTCCTATAATGCACTTAGTTTAAAATTACACTTGGACCTCTCCTCCTTTGTATTTTTTCATTTACTTCAGTGCAACAAGATGACTTGATTTTCTTGGGATTACATGAACTCCATTCAGTGTTACTGGGACATTTCTGCTCAACTAAATACTTGCCTTAATAGACAAATGAACTTCTTTTTATTTGCTGGAGTTTGTAGACGGTTTTAGACACAGAGAGTGCAACTGATTTAGTTATTGTTGTTGTGAGAATCGAACAGACACAAAAGTCATTTATCTAAAACGAAGAGATATGACTCTGTAAAAGGGAGAAGCAAGGGCAGAATCATGGGGAATTATTTCAGTTTATAGCTCTTATTAATTAAACCGGATATGGTTTTATTCTTTAGTACCGACCTTGTTAAATTCGCCCAGATACCTCTTCCCCTTAGCCCATTTTTTCATTCTTTAGATAACTTGCGTCCCTTGTTGATGGGGGTTGCTTTTGCTACATTATATCAGTAAAATTGCGGTGTAAAATTGCGTGCATCTTCAGACGGTCGCATCCCCGCACCCCTCGGAAAAAAAGGAAAAGAGAAAGAAAAAAATGCTTCTCCCATTCAGACTTAGCATCTTGTTTCGTTGAAATGCGAGACAGGTACTTGATTTAGCATTTAAGCAAAAGGTTACACAAACCGCGTTTTAAAAAGTGTTGGGATGTCCGACAGGGTCAGCCCCAGATCAGATCATTTTTTGAATGCAGACCTAAAGATAATGAGTACTTGTTGTATTAAAGGGGACAAACAGTACTTTGGCTTCCTCTGACCCCAGAATGCACGGCTCGGTTTCATTGATCATCCTCCTTTATGAGATAATGCAATTACAAACATCAATAAGGGGGCTGCAAGGGGAATCATTATGCGGTGACAGTGATAAATGACGGTGCAGAAATAGCATGCTTTTTCCCCCCTAACAATCCAGGGGCCCAGGGGCTCCGGGGGCTGAACACAGTCGCCAAGGAAACAGATGACATCCCAAACGGCACCAAAGGAAAAAAAATGAACAGTCTTTCTTTGCCTTTCACTCTTTTCCGTCTTCCAAAGAGTTAGTTTTGGCTCAAGCAGCAGCTGCCACACAGGCATTTCGTTATTTCAGACATTAAAGACTGCAGCGGGCGGTGGGAGTCTCCTCCGCTTCCATCCCCACCCCCACTAGATAACACACAAAGCTCGCTGTTCGCGGTTTAGGACTACCTGAAAGCGCACGTCCTGAAAATCAGATGGGGGTGGTGGTGGTGAGGGAAACGGGGTTCACAACAGCCTTTGCGTTGTGTTTTTCCCGCTTGCACGATTGTCGGATGGAAACTGAGTCTGCAGAACAAGCTGGCGCCTCGTGGGTCTGCCAATAAGGACGGGGGCGCGTGGCTCGCCTCCATCTCCCTGCGGTGCCAGACGCTGCTCAATGCCAAGGCGGGGGGAGGGGGGTTGGTTTTGGGGGGGTGGGAATGGGGAGCAGGCGGCTGCTAGGGGTGTTTGCCGCTTCGCTGGCTTTCTTTGAGATGGAATTATCAATGGGCGCAGGGATCTCCCCTAGATCGAGGAATCCGCTTGTTTAAAGCCCCAGGGTGCCCTCAGCAAGTGGCTTCGATAGGGCTTCGCTGAACGATCCCCATCTCGCGTGTCCTGGGCTGGTGGCTGAAGTAGGCGGGCTCGAAAAGGTGATGGGTTACCCGGACTGCGTGCTAGACCTGCCTGGCTCGGACACTAGGGAGGGAAGGGGAATTCGCCACTTTGCGGGGGAAGGAGGAGGAAGAGAGAGGAGAAGTGCAAGGCGGGGGGGGGGGGGGGCGGCTCCCCATAGAAGAAAACAGAAAGGAGGAAGAAAGCGAGCGAGCGCAACCCCACCCTTCGAAAAGGTCGCCATCCTTAAGAAAGCAGACACGGGGTTCCCTGACCCCTGCGGGAAATGCCCCGGCGTGGAACGCGCGACCCGGGCGCTGCCTGCCCTGCCACTCGCGGCCCCCGCCCTGAGGAGCCGGCTGCGCGGGTGCGCGAGCAGGTGACTTTATTCACTGCTTCCCCAATCGGCGAGGTCCCGGGACTCGTTTTCCGCCTGGAGATTAAGATCATTGCTCGCGTAATGAACTTAATGCTTTAGGGTAGAGGTGAGTGTGTCTGCGAGTGGGCAGGGGTAGGAATTACCGACCCGATCGATGGGAGACTGGCTTAAAACTAAATCCCTTTTCTCCAGGGTTTCAGCGCCTAGGTTTCCCAGCGGTGGGAAAGGTTAGAAGGCAGGGCGTGGAGGAGCGACCCCAGGGCTCGGCCCACCAGAACTGAAACCCTAAAATGCCCATCTCCCCACCGAGACCCCCGGGACACCCGTATTTACGGCAAAGGCTCTTAAAAGCTCCAGTGTGGGCGAACTGATTGCTCAACATGTTGTTTGTTTTTCCTTTACAGCTCTTCCTTGGGAGAGAATGTGACGGGCTTGTTGTCAGGCTGATTGGGCCAAAAAGAGAGATTCTCCCCAACCCCTCCTCCCGCCCCTCCCCGCCATCAGCGACTCCCTCAAGGGGCGATTTCCCACACTCCCTTCTTCACCGCCCTGTCCTGGGCCTTGGGATTCCCAACCTCGTGTGGACTCTGCACCTGGCTACCTAAGTGTCACGGGATGCCCCACAGTCAAGTGGGTGAGGGTGGTCAGGGAGAGGGAAGTGAAACGGGGTGACATACCGGGCCATACAAGGCACCCCACAACCCAGTTCCACGGCACTCCAGCCGGCGTCCAAGCGCCTACCAGGGAGCTCCGCATCGTCAGGTTTTACTGTCTATACATCCGAGGGCCTGCTGGGATCCGAAAGGCTGGGGAAAGTCTGCAGAGGCTTTAAAGTGATCCCGAGGAGCTCCTACCTAAGGCGTTGAGTGCTGCCCACGGCTCCCCCACTGCGCCTGGCGGGTGCTGCCCGGGTCCCAAGTGCCCCCGGGCCCCAAGCTCTCGCAGTCCCGCTCCCAGAGTCGCGGCAGGACTGACCCAAGAGTCCACCAAGAAGCCTCTAGCCCACCGAGTCGAGCTGTTTGGAGAGAACGGGGCCCGGAGTCCCCCAGGAGGTGCCTCTCCACAACCTTCTGCGCTGACACGGAGTCGCCTCGTCTCCAGAGACGAAGTCTGCAGCCCCCTTAGACTTGACTTTTCAGTTGGGTTGGGGAGGGGATAGGAGGTTAGTGGAGGTGCCGGAACCGCCCCCTTTCTCCCCCCACCCCCCGCCCCCGGGTGCTCTGGACTCTACGCAGAGACCTCTCCGCCCTGCACCTGCCGGGGGCTAGGACTCAGGGTTAGGGCTCAGTGGCAGCCGCGTTCCGGCCGGGATCCCCTCAACTGCCGCCGCAGCCCGAAGGATCTCTCGGCGCGCGGAGGCCGGCCCAGCCCCAGCCCCAGGCCCCAGGCATCTCCCTCCTGCCCGGCAGCAGACTCGGGGGGCGCTGCACTCGGCAATGAAGCCTGAGCGCAAAGTCTGCGCGCCGCGTGGGAGACGCGGGCGGGAGGGGGCGCGTGGCGCTGGTGTTTTTTCTTTTCAGAACCTTTCGACTTCACTACAAAGTTTCTTCGTAGGCGCCTGGGCCCCGGGGTCGGAGCCTCCCGCCGCCGCTCCTTCCTCTCCCTCCTCCCGGCCCCCTGGAGCCGAGCGAGCCGAAGCCTCCGGCTGCCGAACTTCACCTCCCCCTGCGGGGACCCCGGCGCGCCGAGCGCCGCCCTCCTCACCCCGTCCCCGGGCTCCGCGGGGGTGCCTCTCCCCGGGGCGAAGCTCGCCGGCCGGGCGCTCTAGAAGGAGACACCCGCTGCCTCCCGAGGAAGTCCTAATACCATCCATACAGCTTTAATGCGTTTATAATTCGATAAGTGATTTCAATTTGAAATTGTTAGTAACTAATTTTATGGGTAATTTTTCCACATCAAATATTTAAGCATCAGATTAAGGGAGCCAGTTCCGACACAGGATAATAAGGGGGTTTCCCCCCCACCCCCCGCGGCCCCCCGCCTCCCTCGGATTCCTACCGAGTCGTTTTTCCAAATCCCCAAAAGATGGCAGTCGAAGCCGACATTCTTCTTTTCCTGCGGCCCTGCGAAGGGAGGGGCAGAAAGAGGGAAGGAGCGAGAGAAAGGGGGAGTGAGGGAGAGAGAGGCACAGGATAAGGGAAGATACAAGAGAAAAGAGAGGGAGAAGCTAGACGTTGCACGGACTTTTCAAAAGTCATTCTTGCACACATGTCTAATACAGGCAAGAAGCAGTGGTGGATTTCCTGGAAATGTCCTGGCAGAAAAGAAAGCCAAAAAACGTGCCTCGTGGGCTCAGAGCAGAGGATGTGAGAAACTCAGCACTTTGAGGCTAACCCCTCCATTCAGAGCAGAGGCAGGAAAGGGGAGCCCGGCTTTTTGCTATTTCTTTGTATTTAACATCATATGCATACTGGAGAACTCAGAGGCTGTTTCCTCCACTGGACTCTGCCAGTTACCTAATGGGGGGTGAGGAAAGGTGATGGGTGGGGGGCGGACTGCAGTGGGCGGAGGGGAGGCTGGGGCCAGAAGCGGATGAATTGCAGACCAGTTGCCAAAACTTTTTTTTTTCTTTTTCCCTGCTGCTGCTGCTGCTGCGGCTGCCTTTGCTGCTGCCTTTGCTTTGAATGTGGGTAACTAGGAAACAGCAAGCCGTCTGAGAAGACGGAATTTCCAACGTGTAAAATGTTCTTAACGGAACCATTGAGCGAGTGCAATAAGGCGTGAGGGGGAACTAATCTTCCCATTTAAATGTTTGTGGCAATTTTATCTAAATGAATTTTAATGCTAAACGAGGGTAATTCCCCATTTGTAGCGCGTTTACTTCTCTTTCCTGTGCTTCTAAAGCAGTCGAACATCATGCAATGAACAATAACAATAAAAATACTGTCAAGGCATATTATTCATTTCGAATGTGTTATAATTACAGCTGATTAAATATGATAGGAGAATTTTCTTAATTTTTTCGGAAAAATATTTAAATCATATTAAAAAGTAGTCTCATTCAACCCGGCGGGCCCCCTCCCCAAATAAAAATAAAAAGCAGGTACAATTGCGTGCCCTTGTTTAGAAGAGGGCGTTTTGTTTTTGCCTTTTAAGAAACATCAAAAACGCTCTCAGCACCTCTATTATTTCCCTCTTTCGGTTAAGTGTCCTCAATAACCTCCGAGCTGGCTCTGAAATTTACAAGAGGAAAAGCTAAAATAGCATTAAGGGGGAGGTGGGGGTGTCCAGGCAGGGGGAAAAAGGACCCGCCAGAGAGCAAGGCTCTCACAAAACAGGCACGCAGAGGGGGGAACGCAGGGAAAGAACACAGTTTGTTTTATTTTTTTCTAATTCACTGAACACTAATGATCTTGAGTCTTCATAGCCTCCATATTCCCTAATTCTTCTTCACTGGGACCCCTCTCCTTCTCCCAGGGCCTGCCCCCACCGCCCTCCCTCCGTCCTCCCCTCCCCTTTCTTTCCCTCCCCCACCCGGCAAGAGCTTCCTCCAGAATAAAGACTGAAAATAACCAACTCACCCAGGCATGTACTGGAGAGGAGGGGCAAATGGCTGGTTAGTTTATAAAGTTTATTATTAATTTTGAAAGTAAATAAATGGTTGTTAACGGCTAGTAACCACCTATCAAGAGAGAATTATTCCACGAATATGGACTGTTTATGTAGACTAAGAACTGCCACTGGGTTGGAATGGGAAACTGAAACAATCCCCTAGACGGGGTGGGGGCGGGGTAGGGCGGAGGGCGCTGCGTGCGAGGCTGCAGAAGGTCGAGCCTCGCTCTCTTTCTCCAGATCCACGTGTTTAGGAACCAGGCCCCATAAACAAAAGGTGAGAGAGAGCACGGCCGCTCCAGCAGGTGAGTCAGTCAATCACACGCCACCTAGTAAACCCAACCCACAGCTGGTTTCTCTTTTCAAATAGAAAATAGAATTGTTCAGGGCGGGTTTATAGGGTGACACGGGCCTGAATGTCAGGCTTGAGTTTAAGGCCCCCTCCTTCGACCCATCCTTTGTTTACAAAGCAATCACTACCAAAAGCCTGATTTTTTAAAAAACGAATTTGCCTTAATTAAAATATTTGTGTATTTTCCTTAGCTTTGGGAAGCACTTTTTATAGCCGCAATTTTATTTCAATAAAATTATAAGCTATTCCAGCTTAAACATGTTATTTTGTACCATTTAGCTGGCTGCCATGCCGAAATTCTGTACAGCTATTCTGGAAAACTGGTTAATAACCAGTTTGATCCAATGAGAACATAGCATATTTATAAAAATTAGATTTTTGAAGTCTGGTCTCTTCATTCATGTAGTTAATTTCCTAATAAACATATACTGCTCATCCTAGGTAACATCCTTAGTGAAAGACGTAACTCAGTCCTTTAGGTTTACCATCATGTACAAGAATAATTTCACTGATATTAGATGAGTAATTCTGTTGGCTGTAATCTGAGTCTACAGTTAGTTTAGTGCCCTTAGGCCTTAAATTTGCTGATATTAGGAGTTCATTAAGTCAGCTTAAAGAAATCAGTGACTATTATTAAATAATTTATTTTGTGGTTCAAATTTTCAAATGCATATATATCTTAGGGAGCTAAAATTAATTTTTATATTTACTGCATTCATCATGAAAAATTTGGGGGGCAGTAAACAAATTTTTCAAGCAGTGGAGTCAGCATGACAAAAATAATCTTGTTTTTATTTTAGATTCAGATTTCATTACTGCACTCAAACGACTACAACTGGGCTTGGCGTTATTATACAATCCAAACTGTTTCTGTCAGAAACGCTAAGACTCAGTGTGCAATGATTGTTATTAATAATTAGCTCCTTGGTTTCTTGA